CTCACCAATTCTATTCCAGAAGCCGCCCCCCCCCATCCATTATATAGCTGCCATGTAGTTTGGATGGGATTATCCTTACTACCAGCTTCTATGGATCCTGATTTGACCATTCTAGTCTTCCCCATCAGAGCCTAAGCCAATAAGCAAATGGTATTCAAGGTATTCATTAGAAAAATAAAAAAAGCTTAAGATTTTTGTTAAGTAGTTGTGAATAACTAACACACACTATCTCCCTGGATGTGAAGGGAAACCATGAAGTATAGATAATTGTTGGCAGCATCTTACAAGCAGGAGAGAGGTCAGATTAAAGACAAAACTGATACACAGAAAAGGAGCAAGCTAAGGTTATCATAGAAAAATTAAACAAGAGCCTTGATTGAACCATGCTTGACTCTTAGGTCCTTTACATAGGATGGGATTGTGTGACTAATTTGCCTAGAACACTGTCAGAACAGTTCTCCTATCCTCATTGTTAATAGTGCTCCCTTTCTCAAAAGTGCTCTGGTCTAGATATTCATTTATATGGTCATACACCCTGCAACTGGAGTTAAACATCAATTAATGTATTAGATAGTCAAGGTCAACTGTTTCACAAATTGGTCCACTCAGCTTGTTTCCTGGCTGACTTCCAGCAAGCTCTCTCAGATTGTTCAGTTTTTTAAAATACTTAGATTCAAAAAGTAACCACAGAAAATATTCTGTTTTCCTCACTCTTGGCAATATCTTAGTCTTTCTTCAGGACCCAGATGACCTTCTCCATAGAGTCTTTCTAGACTTTCTAAAATAGAAGTAATCCCTCCCCACTCCACACAATTCTGTTCATACCTCTGTATCAACACATATTGCATTACAATGATATGTTTTTGTGTTTATCTTCCATGGCTGTGAATTTCTACTGAAAAAAATGGATTATATCATTCTTAATTTTGTATCCAAAGCATGAGAACACTATGTGCCTGGAACAAAGCATATTTTATCTTTTATTTTTTTCAAAGTGTATTTTAATATTTGTGAGGAATAAAGGAAAAGAAACAACTGGATAACAAACCCATTAATTTGTTTACTTTATCATCTTTATAGCTTGTTCAAATAATTTTTCTCAGCATTTTCCATTGTATAGCAACTAACTGTTAAGGACAGCTCCCAAGTCCAAAGGATCCCAAAATAGTTAAGGTGGGCAATTGAATTTAGACATGGGCTTATGTTATAGAAAAGGCCCCAATATTTGATTCTATATCTCTGAATTGCAAAATGGGTTGTTTCATGCTTTTTCACATTTCGATAACACTTCAAATTTGTATTCATAATGAAATAAAGGCTTAAAAATAATTAGATATGATTTTGGAATCACAAAATTATTAATACTAGACTGGGAGAGGGCTTATCTTTTTTCACAAATTTATTGTTAGTTTGGTCTTCATTTGTGCAAATGTTGTAAATATTTTTGCCAATTTCAAACTAAAAAAATTTTCATGCAAACTTCACTCAAAATGTTTCCTTGTGCAAATCTTGATGCATTTTATTCTATTTTCTAAGGTATTTATTATAAAAACTAATTTTAATACCTATTTGATACCTGTTTCTCACACATCAGAGGGCCCCCATGTGTACCTCTGTAATCTTATACTTTGCTTGTGTAGAATTTTATTTCAAGGCTTGAAATATATTTTTCCCATGGAATGAAAGTATCTTTGTTTGCTCTTTACTATTTAATTATATTTCTCCTGTTTCATACAATTTTCATCTAATTGCATTGTTTCTGATTGACTAACTCAAATACATTAGCAAGAAGATGAGATCTACAGGAAATTCTGGTTTGTATAGTAAACAAGAATTGTAAAGTATGCATCTGTCACAAAGAGACTAATTTGCTAAAATAAAAGTCCTTATAAGGACAGCTAATTTTATTTTTTATAGGTAGAAACAGTAGGGAGAAATAGAGAAAACAAAAATTAGTGATCTAGATGTAATAAGACAGAATGAATGAACTTTCTCTATTAAGGAATAATAATAAAACTTTCATAGAATATACATTTGCCTGGGACTGCTGTATATTTTACATATGCTAACTTGTTTACTTCTGACAACTCATTTTCTAAACAAGGAAACTCAGGCAAGAAAGTTTCAATGATTTGCTCAGGTCACATAGCTAGTAAAACTGGGATTCAAACCTCTCCAGTCTGACTTTCACAGTGATTGTGTTTAGCTAATAGTCTATACTATATCCTAAAACAAAAGCATCAGTAAAATAGAAGGTATTTTGTAGAGAGTCTAAACTCAGGAAATACAGTTTATCTCAACAGCCTTTGTTCCTTAGTAAAAGTTAAATTCACATTTTAATTATATTTTTGATAATCCTTAGAAAAATCCAGATTTTATTGGAAGTTTTCTGAATTATGTTATGAAAAAAAGTACTTGTAAAAATCATTCTTGGCTAGGAACCATGGTTCATGCCTATAATCCTAGCACTTTTGGAGGCCGAGGTGGAAGGATCACTTGAGGCCAGGAGTTCAAGACCAGCTTGGGCAATAGCGAGACCCCCCCCCCATCTCTACAAAAAATTAAAAAATTAGGTCTGGTGGCACATGGCTGTAGTCCCAGCTACTTGAGAGGCTGAGGCAGGAGAATCACTTGAGCCCAGGAGTTTGAGGTTGCTGTGAGCTATAATGATGCCACTGCACATCAACCTGGCAACAGATCCCCCCACACACAAAAAAAAATCTTTCTTCTACTCATTGTTTATGGTCTTAAATGAATTGTTCTGAAATAACAGTTGATTTCATGAAATTTCTATTAACTGAAG